TTGGTTAATTTATAGTTGTGAGTGTGTCTGGGCTCCTGAATCAGCCTCTCCTGTCTCCCTCCTCTCCCTCCTGCTCCTCTTTGAGGCAGCAGCAAAGACTAGTTTTTAGCTCTCAACAAGTTTTAAAAGTTTATCTTGCCTTTTTTCACCTAGTTAACATTTGTTTTTGTATTATTCATGCATATTTCACTAATCTCACTCCCCCCTCAAATGGAAATATGTGTTTACATAAATGGTGACCAAACCGTTTGAGACCCACAGAGATAACTTAGACAAAGTTAACTATCTAAGCACTCCTAAATAGTCCTTTACCTCACCTGAGTTATCAGTCTCTCAGTCTGACAGCAGAGGACTCTCCTCCACCTTGTTGTTGAAACAGCTCCTTATATCCATTAGCGCAGCTAGCTAGCACCAGATGCTAATAACAACACTACACGTAACCGGTGCGCGCGCTCTCTCTCTCGCTCGCTAGCGCCACACATACATACACCCTCCCGAGCTTGAATGACACAGAGACCAATCGAGGGCATTAGTGTACGATCTGTATGAAAGTGGCCATGTCGGCAGGCCACATCATGTAGACAGCCAGTCACCCTCTGTGAGGCAGAGTCAGATCCACATTTGCGCAGCGTTGCGTTCACAATACATACATAAAAAAAAGATTCCTCAGGCCAGCTGGCCACTTAGCAGACCAGGCCATCGGGAAACCTCCCGGTCCTCCCGATGGCCAGTCCGGGCCTGCTGCTGCGCCGGGAGACGAGCGAGTGGAGGCATACATGGTAAGTAACGTTAGCCTGGGGCTGGCGAGGCTACATTTTTTAGACATGTCAACAAAAAAAAGTAGAAAACGTTTTTACATTGAATGTGATGTGACCTAATTAACTGCATTCTTTCACACACACATACGGGTTTTGGGCCGAGGGCGACACCGTACTTCCGGTATCAACCATTTCACATAGTCGATTGCCTTAATCAATATAGTCAACTCTAAAATACCACATATATGCATTGGCATGATAAAATTATTGTGACAAGTGGGGTATTCACCTGGTGTTTCCAGAAGATAGACGTAGATGTAGCCAAAATCGACCGAAGGCCACTTTTGAGGGTCGTAATTCCATACATTGTACATCCAACAACCCACACAGCTCTAGTTTACGCTGGTAACGACCTAGAGCACACCCCTCAAGTCCAGAGATGTAATTCGAAGACATGCAGCGATTTCTTCGGTCGTTAAATCAAAAAAAAAACCTAGTGCGCTCTGCCTGGCTACATTAGCTAGCTGTCTATATTAGCATTGCCAGGATTTTTGCACCTCCAGAAAAATGGCGTCTTTATAAAAAATATATGGCGCGCGTTGCATCGTGGGTAGCTGTGACGTCACTGTGTGTGACAGAATAGTCCTACTTGTGACAACATATTAGCCCAGAGTTGAAGGGCTGTGAATGTTGGTAGATGTGGTTGATTTTGTTTAAATATGCCGAATTATGATATTATGGGTTATTATTGTTCAAATGATTTAGCTAGGCTAGCTAAGAGCTGCTAACGTGAGCGGTCTCTTGTTGCCAGTAAACGTTCACATGGACCAACGAGCTGTAAGTAGAGATGCAGAATCAAGCTGTATTGTTAATACAGATGAGATACTTTGAATTTTAGCACAAAATACAAGTAAACCTAGAGGAAATAATTAGTTTAATTTGCAATATTTGCCATTGAATTTATTGTAATCTTTCAATTCATTTATTGTTTACTGAGGTGATAACTATTTCATAATTTGTGTGTAACTTTAATTTCTATGTAAATGTGTTTACTGTAGTTTTCAAATGGCTGTGTATAGTGCTGTCTTGAGCATTTTCAGGTATTGTCACAAAGATCTGACTTTTTTGCATTGGAAAACACTAGTAAGTGTCATAATGAAAACATGGCAAAGCCACTAGTGTTGTTACGCTCGCGAACGTTTTGTTCAATATTAACTAATCTTTTATCTTGTACATTATTCTGTGGTTTTGAGTTATTTCCCCATCCAATGATAAATGCTTTCCCTATGTTCAGCCCAGACAGGTTCAGGGCAAGTCCAGCTGGTCAGTTCAGGGAGAGAGCCAGACCAATTCAGGCAGCCCAAAGACTGCACCACCTGAGAGAGAAAAGGCTGTAGAGAGTGAGGAGTATGTCAACCCAAAGACTGGATCACCTGAGAGGGAAAAGGCTGTAGAGAGTGAGGAGTGTGTCAGCCCAAAGACTGCATCACCTGAGAGGGAAAAGGCTGTAGGAGTGAGGGTGTGTCAGCCCAAAGACTGGATCACCTGAGGAGGGAAAAGGCTGTAGAGAGTGAGGAGTGTGGTCAGCCCAAAGACAGGATCACCTGAGAGGGAAAAGGCTTTAGAGAGTGAGGAGTATGTCAGCCCAAAGACAGGATCACATGAGAGGGAAACAGCTGTAGAGAGTGAGGAGTGTGTCAGCCCAAAGACAGGATCACCTGAGAGGGAAACAGCTGTAGAGAGTGAGGAGTGTGTCAGCCCAAATACAGGATCACCTGAGAGGGGAAAAGGCTGTAGAGAGTGAGGGAGTGTGTCAGCCCAAAGACAGGAGTCACCTGAAGAGGGGAAAAGGCTGTAGAGAGTGAGGAGTGTGTCAGCCCAAAGACTGGATCACCTGAGAGGGAAAAGGCTGTAGAGAGTGAGGAGTGTGTCAGCCCAAAGACAGGATCACCTGAGAGGGAAAAGGCTGTAGAGAGTGAGGAGTGTGTCAGCCCAAAGACAGGACCACCTGAGAGGGAAAAGGCTGGAGAGAGTGAGGAGTATGTCAGCCCAAAGACAGGACCACCTGAGAGGGAAACAGCTGTTGAGAGCTATGAGTGTGCCAGTCAAATAACTGATTTTTTTCCACAACCTGATCAGAAAAATCTCCAGTCATTTTTAAATTACCATCCTCAGCAAAAAGTAGCAATCCAGTGGTGCAGAAAGTGTTCTGTAGCAGAGACGGCACCAGTAGAAGGTGGCTGACGTACTTTCCAGAGCGTCACATGCTGTATTGTTTCATCTGCATGGCATTCGGTAAGAGAACTGATAGCAGTCTGTTCATCAGTGGAATGTCAGATTGGAGGCATACACACCAGCGCACAGAGGAGCATGAGAGAAGCAGTGCACACAGAAACTGTGCTGAAGCTTACCTCTTGAAATCCGCCAGTGCTGATATCAGCAGTGTGTTTGGTGGCAGTCAGATGTCAGAGCAGGTCAGAGCAGGTCAGAAGGAGACGGCAGGTTTTGGAGCGCATCATAGATGTCATCAAGGTTCTTGGGAAGAGGGGGCTTGCATACAGGAGGTCAGAAAATGAGGCAGCATATACTCTGGAAGACCACACAGTTGATCATGGTAATTTCTTGGAACTCATACTTCTACTGGGGAAGTATGAGTTCTGTTTAAAAGAGCACCTGGACAGCTGCATTGAGAACAGCAAAAAGTTGCATTTGTCTGGTGGCACGAGAGGCAGAGGCTCCCTTGTAACTTTACTCTCCAAAACCACAGTCAACTCAGTGATAGATGCAATTCACCATCTGATTCAAGAAAACATCTCCAGTGATATCAAGAAAGCAGGAATGTGTTCAGTGCAGCTGGACACAACGCAGGACATCACCTCTCAGGATCAATGCTCTATAATTATGAGGTATGTTACTGATGTTGTTCATGAGAGGCTTGTTGCAGTGCTGAAGTGCAGTTCATCCACTGGACAGGCCTTTGTCAACATGCTGTCAGAAGTTCTGGACAAAATGGGCCTCAGCAAGACCATGTGCATTGGAAATGTGACTGATGGGGCATCAAACATGCAAGGCCAATACAAAGGATTCTCCTCACTGTTGTCTGCACAATCTCCAAACCAGGTGTATGTGTGGTGCTACGCACATGTACTAAATCTGGTGCTTGCAAACACAACCCAGATTGTTATTGAGAGTGGGTCCCTGTTTGCGCTCCTCAATGGCATTGCGGTATTCATCAAAGAGTCATATAAAAGGATGAATGTGTGGGAAGAGTCAGGCCCGAAACAAGAGACGTAGACGCCTTGCTCCTATTGGCGAGACACGCTGGTGGGCCAAGCATGAGGCCCTGAAGAAGAGACACGCTGGTGGGCCAAGCATGAGGCCCTGAAGAAGGTGTTTGGCTCCTTTGGAAAACCCGAAGATGCTCTGTACGTTGATGTGCTGCTGACATTATCAGCTATACAGAAACAGGCAACAGTGAAACCATGTATCCGTGTCATGGCCAGAGGATATGCAGAGTCATTGCTCAAGTATGAGACGATCTTGACGGCTCAAATCTTCCTCCGCATATTTGAACATACCTCTCCATTGTCTAAATACCTTCAGACGGCAGGATTGGACATCCTCTCTGCTCACAGAATGGTGGCCTCGACACAGGATACGCTGAAAAGCTTGGGAAGAGATTTTTAATCTGTAAAAAAAGCAGCGGACACATTTGTCAACTGGACAAACACAGAAATCCAAGAGAGAGATGACACGGACATTGAAGTAGAGGCCACACTGCCACAAAAGAGGAGGAGGATGAAGAAAGTATTGCCTGGAGAGATGGCTCAGGATGAGACCCTGGATGATGCAGAACAATCCTATGAGGTGAATGTGCATAACCGGATCATGGACACAGCAATTGAAGCCATTCATAGGCGCTTTTTAACACACGGCAATCTATATGCTGACTTGGCATGTCTGGATCCCAGTGCTCTTCCCTCAGCTCTGCACCAGTGCTCTTCCCCAGTCTGCCCTTCAAGACTTAATACTTTTCGCCTCATTCTGAGATAAAGAAGTGAAATGTACCAACGTGACGGCCGTCTTGGTGTTTGTGCGAGACGGGAGATGTAGTTCATTGAGCGGTTTCAAAATATATTTTTTAAATTGTCAAACATCATATGTGTAATTCGTGGCACAATTCAAACGGGATCGAAAGATAACTTTTCTCTCTCCATTGACTTCAATACATAATTTTTTCAGAAATAAGGTCCCGTGAGCTCCACCGGAAGGGGAGCGACTTGACCATGACCTTCCGGTAGATATCGCCTTGTGTGCGATGTTGTATTACACGCAGTCTTTTCCGGCGCAGATGAGGACTTGAGGAGACGTCGCATTTGTGGTGAGCTTAACCTCCATCATGACTTAGCCTTGATTCCACAACTAAGATGTTGCATGCATTATCATCCGCTTGGTAATAGTGTTAATTTCGTTGACTAAAACAATGACGAAATATGTTCGTCAACGACCTTTTTTTCCATGACTAAAACGAGACGATGACGAGACGTCACCGACGGCAGTAAACAATAACTGTAACGAAATCATTATGCAATATCGTTGACGAAAAGTGACGAGACGAAAATGTAGTTTACTAAATAAAAACTATGCCAAAATCTCTTTACTTTCGTTGACGAAAAATGAGGAGACGAAATATTATCAAAGATAACGTTACATCTCTGATAGTCAGTTTTTCTCCCAGCAGTTCCATTTCCGGTGCTGAGGCAGGGCAGCAGCTGTGTGTCTGTGCTGCGCGTGGCGGTACATTTGAATTACACCGGGCCAGCGGCACACTGTGAACTGTCAGGAAGACTCGGGTCTAACTCATGGTCTAACTAACCTTATTTAACAGAAAATAAAATGGCAACAACAGGGCTTGGGAGCAGTGGTCGCACTCGCGTTAACCAAATACCCCCCCGTCAGCGCGAGTGAGGGATAAATTGTGCACTCGACGGATAATAATGGATTATGACAGAAATTGTACGATCCTGTCCGTCAAAATGACTGACAACGAAAAAGTCTAAAGCCACCACTGCTTGGGAGAAATAAACTATGTGATATTTTGGCCCATTTTCGCTACAATGAGGCGGAGAAAAAAAGCGAATGCATCGTTTCATCAGAAGGGAAGCAATGTGGCCATAACACAAAAACACCACAAACCTGAGCAGATACTCTCTGCAAAGCTTCTTAATCATTCAACCTGTGTTTTTCATCAAATAAGGACAAGATATAAACCTATTTATTTATATATGCTAAAATGACAAATTATTGGTTTTGGCTAGACTAGTTTGACTGAAATGTTCTATATAATCTGATGACTAAAAAAGACTCAACAGTTTTCATTGACAAAAAGTGGACTAAAATAATTAGTTTTCTTTGACTAAAATAAGACTAAAATGCTGAGACTTTTAGTCGACTAAATCTTGACTAAAATAGTTACTGTTTTAGTCGACTAAAATAAGACTAAAATGCTCAGACTTTTAGTCGACTAAAACTTGACTAAATAAAAACAGGATGAAGGTGACTAAATATGACTAAAACTAAAAAGGAAATTTAACACAGGACTAAGACTAAAACTCAATTAAAAAATAGCTGACGAAATTAACACTACTTGGTAAGTATGAAAAACAATCACCCAATGAGTTAGCTACGGTGATACAGTTCTCAGCTATTAGTCAAGCTAACTTAGCCACGTGGTGGATGAACAAACCGCTAGCATCATGCTATTGGGTGTGTGTTTACCTAGCAGGTCATTAGCATGTATATTTAGCGTCAATGCTAGTACGGTTTCTATTGAAATGCTAATGAGTTCGCCTGTGAGTTAGGGAAGAGTTGATAACTATTCAGTCATACTGTTGACGGCTATATATATTAGGCACAGCTGCACAACATGACAATTTAACGATAACGACTCGCAGTTTTGCGTGGTCAAAGGAATTAGCACATATGTAGCGTCTGAAGCTAATGTTACTACTTTCCATGCACTTTCTATCGTAGTTTGCCTGTTAGTTGTTTTTGTTAGCAAGCCAACGTGTTCCTGCAAAGCGCTCTAGACTAGAGCATACTACATGATTAACTAATATTAGTTATTAAAGAAATGTGAAGTATGACATTGGAATGATTTGTAATAGATGTATTCACAACATGTCTTTATATTCTAGCCCAGCCCCAGACTTACATCTCCGAGACCTGTGAACAATCTGAGTAAGTAACAATGAGTGCTCAACATTTTTTAATATGTTTTTATCAAAGTTTTTGACAACGAATATTTTTGTCCCAAATGACTAATTAGGGTAGTGCAATCGAATGATATCGGAGGGTTAAACACATTTTATATTATACCATATCATCATTGTGGTGAGAAATTGATATTAAGCATTAGGTCATGGTTTTCGAATAGTCATTACTACTAATAACAATTCGACTGCGACTATCATCTTGTCTTAAAATGTATATTTTTACCGGTATGAAACATTGTGTAAAGATAAGTGCTAGCTAGCTACATCGCTACTCGGGAAATATCGTATATATATGGTAATTAAGAGTTAAGACATTCGGAAATAACAATGATACCCTTGAAAAATTCGACTGCAAATAGTAACTTCCCTATTGTGTTAATTAGCTCGCTGAAGCTGTATACTAAACATATCACAGTTAAAATGGATAGACATTTGGACCATTTATCTATGGAAAAACAAATGTGAAAATACATTGCATAGCGAACACATGTTCAGGCTATTTAATTATGAAATGTGCTTGTATATGGGTATTGAATAGCTGACAGCTAACTGATAGCTAAGGTCAAGTTTCAGAGAGACGTACTAGTGCTAGCAGCGCCAGATCAGAATATTAGATATAGGGCTTTAAAGGAAAGGGGTAGGTAAGTTTGAGAAACCAGCTCGAGATACACTGTTTGTTATATTCCATGGAATGCTCTTAATATCCTGATAGCAATGAATATTCTAAGTGCTTTGAAAAAAAATCCATAAAAAAATGTCATCTGTGGAAGCCGTAATACTGTACGACCAATTATTTTAGCCTGGCCGCCTAAAATAACTGGTTGGCATACCTGTCTGTCAGCCTTCCATCTCGTGCACGCACACTCGTGCAGTCATTGCGCGTGCCATCAATGGGCGTGTTTCCCGTCTCCGGGCAGTTGTTGCTCAATCGCCAGCAACAGCCGGGGACACTTGGCCACCATGGCAGAGTTTGCTTCAACATCGTCTACCGGTCGCAAAAGAAAAACTAATGGAGCAAATTATGAAGAAAAATAAAGTGGAAACTAGGAGAAGTCAAACCAGAGTCAATATCGGAGTTGCTTTTCAACTATGGCGACTACTTATGGAGCACACCGAGCTGATATGTAACGTTACCGCAGCCTGCGCTCGCCAGCTAGCCAGACGTAACATTTTTAATACATTTTCACAAAACAAACATGCTAGCTTCAAACATATAAGCACTGACAATAACTTTGTTATATATTTGTTTTACATTCATTATCATGATCTTGGGTGTTGTTTTTTTTACATCTGATTGAGCCATGATGTTTTCAAATCTTCACTGAGGTCATGTGCGCGTTCATGTGTGTTGGAGGAGGTGCTCTGTAGGAAGTCTGAAGGAAGGGGAGGATTCTTTTCGGTTGTGTACTTTGGAATTTGTGTACACTCGAGCCGGTTCCTCAAACTGACCTACCCCTCCTTTAACTTTAAGTTACATTATTGCATCAACTAACAAACATGAAAGTTGCATCATGCACATGCCTGCTACACATGTGTTGTTGTCTCACTTAGACTTTTTTTTCTCTCAACAGGTGTGGCTCAGCTTCAGTGGTTGCAACGTTGAGCTTACCTGCCGATTCAGGACAAGTTAGTCAACATACAGTACATGTGTTTGCTAGACCAATAGCCTTCTTGTTCTTCTATCCACACAAACACACAGAGATTCCTAGAATTGGTAGATAGAACAAGGGATTGACATTTTCCATTAAAAATAGATGTATCAGTGTCACAAGCTCATACTAAGATGACAGACACAATTGACAAGCTGGCAACATTCTTTGTTACCTAGAAACATACAGGGAATACTTTAGAGATGTCGGATTGAAAACTATTGTTCTGCAAAATGCCCGGTCCTTTTACATGTCGATCCTGTGGCCTGTCTTTGAAAACAGTTAAAAGTTATGTTGACCATCAGGTACTACATCAGGGGTACTCAAATACAAATCTTAAAGGTCCAAAATAAATGTTTCAATAAGACAAAGGTCCGTTTATCACGGTCATTCAAACTTTTAAACAATTACAACAAGATTCTTAACACGAGGTTGCAAAAACAAAAATAATCTGTATGCAGCAGTTTTCATTGTTATTGTGTCTGTGCTTGACCCCTCAGAGTCGCAGTGTAAGAGCTGCACAGTTATGAATAAAGGCAGCTGCACCCTCTTTCATTCAGCATTCCCATTATTGCTTTATAAATGTATTCCCCCTTGTGTGTCCACTGAGGTTCGTCAGGCCCAACACATCTTCAACAAACTCCCCCTTTGCCTCATCATAAAAACTCAAAAACACCAGCAACTGAGCATTGTCAGTGGTGTCAGTGGACTCACCCACAGCTAAGGAAATGCACTGTGCATTTTTTATTCCATCACAAAGCTGATGAATCAAATCACCAGCCAGTATTTATGTTCTTCTGGTTGCTGTGGAATCTGAGAGGGGGATTTGCTTGATTTTACCTGTTATTTCCTCTTTTTGTTTGCCTTCAACATGGTCTCCATCACTTCAGTCATGCATTATTTTATACTTCAGTTATTATCCAGTGGAATGTCCTTACCTACTAGCCTAGTTCAATCAAAGTGGTTACTTTTTTTTGGCTGGGCAGTGTAGTTTTACACACCGTCTTATTTGACTTTCTCAGGACTTAAAACAGTTTTTTGGGGGCAGACCCCCTCAAAGAAAAAAATATATTTACACACGTAAGGTCATCATCTTAATAGTTGTGTATGCTCATCCGTGAGCAGAGCATCAAGTTGACATGTCTATTACAGCTGAATGGGCGATTACCATTTTGTTCAGCAAAACGCCTCACAAACGTATTAAGATCAACAGCTTTAGTGCGTTTTGATTCAATGCTGAGTACAGCCACACTGACAGTCTCTTCTCTGTCATTGTAGACCGCAAATACCTCATTCCTTCAGTGCTTGGGTCCGAATGCTTCTCGTTTTGCGCCGTCCAGTTCAAAATGAAATCGCCGCCAATCGTATGTCCACGCTCGCGCCAGGACCGGGGGAGGGGTTACATGACGTGCATCTTGTGCTGCATTCACTTGCACTCGGACATTAGAGACTTTCTCTCATAAATGTCCGATGAGCCACAACTTTTCTTTCAAAAACAAAGCTGCCAACTGGGGTGGCAGCTGGGGTGTCAGTTGCCACCCGGTAGGTGAAACTAGGCTACTAGCTACAGTACAGATGGAACTAGATGAGCTGTTAATTCTCGCTCTGAATTTATTTATTTTAATTCTCGCTCTGACTTAGACAGGTTGAAAGAGACACACACATTTTTCCCACCCGCATTCCGCGAAGACCCGCCCTACTGTGCCTCTGATTCGCAGATTGTTTGGGGGAAAAAAACGCTGACTGGATGCTGAATGTGATTGGACCAAAGCGTTGACACACACAGGTGGAACACAGTGGAACAGTCAGACATGCAGAGCGCTGTTTGCAGTGGACATAGCGGATAATTTTGACTCGTTGCGAATGCGTTGTGGCGATGTCTCACATACAATACAGAGAGATAATACATATGAAAAGTATAATTTGCTCAGAGTCCGGAGACAGTGGTGGTTCGGTCCGGATCCGGACCAGGGTCCGTAGTTTGAGGATGCCTGTACTACATAGTAGTGCTGGGGGACCCTCTACAGACACTCAGAGCAGCGGTACTGAGAGATATGATGGACGGTTGGACGACTCCTGCCTAGGCTCACCTGCAAGCTCCTTGGGTACATTTACCATGTATACTTTTAACGTTTAGGGGATGTTGAAGGTTTTGTTTAATTAGTAAATGGACATGCCAAGTGCTGTGGAGAGGGAGGGACTGGCAGACAGAGCAATCCGCCCCGTCCCAAAACTACTCTTGCTGTTAAAGAAGTACTACAGTCATTTATTTTTGGCAGAACTTTCAATTTCTCATTATATCCCGATAGTAATCGATTGTAGATCAATAAGATAACACGTTTGACAGAGAAATGCACAACCTGTGTAATCTGTGGAAGAGGCAGGAGCGAAAAGTGAATCAAATACAAACGCACTAACAGGTCAAATGATTGGAACGGCCTAACTTGTCTTGTCAAACTGCCCAGTCAACGTTCCAGCACACGCACTGTTCTTATGCATGTACGGGGGCGTGGCTTTGGAGGAATTCCTGATTGAGGAGGACGTTGTTTAATTGATTTAGGGATTTGAACCTGTACCACATATGTTTTACTGTATGCAGCCAAACATTGGGCTTTGCCAAAACCTTTTACATAAGACTATGGGTTAGGAAAATATAAAGCTATGGGCATCAATCTGTAGATATTGTTTTGTATTTGAGGCTGCAGACATCTCTGATTGCTCTGTCCCCACCTCGCAGTAGTCTCCATCAGAATACTCTTATGTAATTGACTTCTAGACGTTATCGAAGAAAATATAAATCAAATCTTAGTAATTATAGCAATGTTGAACAGTTATCATTTGAAACACAAGAGTAGCCTGGGTCCAGGCTTGTGAATCCTCCCACTAAAGGTTTGGTGATTCTTGGTCTGGTGTTGCCATGTGAAACAGCTGGTTCTCCGATTAAAATATATTGGACAAATGAGCGCTGCAGGTTCTAACTATTAGCCAATGACTGCCAAGGGTGGGACTAACGCTGTTGTGGAGCTGTGCGTTCGGACAATGCAACTTCAGAGGCGTCGTAGCGAGAGCTTATGGTAACTCAAGATTACTTGAGGAGGACGACTGATAGTTGGTAGTAGGTCACAAAGTAGTCTACTCCCGTTCGTACAGTGGCCTATTATGATAATTACATTACTGTTTCATTATGTTGTCATGGCTATGCATCAGCAATGACGTTATAATCAGGGCTGCATATAACTGGTGCACAGGTCCGCCAAAAAAGGAGCAAAGGATCATTTGAAAAAAGGCGCATTTGCGCATGGGCAGGTCGCCCAGGTATATTAAAGGCCGCCAAAGTATAATTCGCGAGCCATTTAGGTTTCATTTTTTTAATCTGTCCGCGATCTGCGATCCCTCAAGCAACATCTCCAGGTGCTCCTTTGAGAACCAGGGCAAAAAAGTTATGTGCACCCCTGGTTATAATCTTCCTCTCCCATGGAAATCGGTTAGAGTGGAAGCAATGTCAGATTTAGGTTCTCAACAGAGTGTAACGAGTTGACAATTCTGTCTAATATCAGGCTACCTCAAGAGGTCATTTTGTCCCAATACTTACACTGCCGGGAAATTGATGGACTTGTCATACTGAATGGCACTATTCTAAAATTGTTCAACGTATTCTGGTCTTTGACCTCATAGTTAATTTCATTTGAAATACAAAATATATTAGCTCAGAGGCAAAACAACCAATTTCATATATCTGTGCTAATTATGGCTCATTGTATTACAGATCTGCATGGTGGAACTGAAATGGCCTCCACCAGTGAATGCTCCATTAGCGGTGGGAAGGGAACAGCAGCACTGGACTATAACTGGCACTACAGCTTCAACATACCGTGGAACCTCATGCCTTCGCATATAAAGAAGATACTGGAGAAGAAAGAATGGCCAACTGCGAGGGATAGAAGAGAGATCATTAGGTTGATATCTGCAGAAATTGTGTCTTTCTGCAAAAATCCTCAAAAGAAGCACTTGAGTGAAGTTGCCCGCAAGATGGTAGTGGACTATCCCAAGTCCTTCAAGGATGAGATTGAGAATCAAGTAGTAGGTTGTGGCTACGATTCCATAACGAAACAACTACAATGCAGAGTGGACAACTACAAAAGGTTGGAGCTACCAACAATGACTCATTCCAGCAGTGCTGACAAGGGAAAGAAGAGACGGAGGAAGGATGCGTATGGATGTGTTGTTAACCCTGAACCTCAACTGTCTGCAAATTGTGAAGCACAGAAGAACATGAAAGGGGAACTACACAAGATGTTTGAGGGAAATGAGAAAGGCGAGAAGAAAATAGAGGCATTGATGATGAACACGTTTGCCTCCCAGAAAAGAGATGTTCAAAATGAAAAAGACACACAGACCTTGAAAGAAGAATGGCCCTATCTTTTCACCACAACAGGATTGAAGACTCATTTCAAGGAACTAACAGGTGTCCACATAAATCATGAATTCCAAGAGGACATGAAGAGCAAATACAAAAGAGTCCTGGGATATTTGAAGTCTCAGCGCCCGGCGAGAGAAAGTCGTGCAGCAAAACTCCTACCTCAAATCCAAGGAAATCCAGGTGAAGACTCCTGTGGGGCTTTGTTGCTGCTTTTAGCCCACTTCAAAGAAGATCAGCACAAGATGCTCATAAATGTCGACGATACCTGTGTTGCAACAGATGTGGACTTGCAGCATCTTCCCACAACCCCATGCATATTGCTGTGTGGTAAGTGAAAGTATAGTAACCATGTCATGTGCAAGTTAAACATATACATTTATTTATTTTTCTGAGAAATTCTATTTTTGAATTCCAGAAAGAATAGGTTAAAGGAACAGTTTTATAAATTGTGTCATTTTCTGATAAATTGTCATTGGCTATCTACTCTTTTTTATTTTAGATAATTAACTCAAATTAATTTACTTGAACAATTTATTTTATTTGATCTTCAAAAATCGTTTTCATTGGACTCGGGCCAATACAGTCATTGTTGAGAAAATGTGAAGTATACTGGCCAGCTCAGTTTGGTCTCTTTTTTCGCTCTTGTCTCACTTTGTCTGTCTGTGTGTTACCTTCACAGGAGAAAGCCCAATGACTGCCTCTGCCTTCATGGTAGCAGTGGACCAGGTGGTGGTTAACGACAGAATCTTCACATTCACAGAGGCAGTTAATGACATGTTCATGATCTACTATGTCCTCAACATCGACTACCCTGTAGAGCTTGGAGCAACAATGGAGTTCATTCAAAGGTAATTGTATATTTTGTATATTTTGTAATCTTTAATTATTTTTTCCATTTACCAGTATAATGAACTTTTAATCATAAAGTCCTTGTAGTGGAGCGGTCAAATATCGTTTACCATATTTTCCGGACTATAAGTCGCACAGGTTCTGATTGCCTATTGCAAGCAAAGCAGAAATTCCAAGACACTGTTCTGCACTAGGATCTTCTAGAGGAACAAAAGCCCATGCTTTCAAACATTAATTGAGAGCAGCACACATTAGGTTACAGCAGCATCACGGTATACAGCCAAGGCCTATCAATGTGAGAATGAACACAACTGTGTAAATGTACACCATTTGACAACGATGTCAAACCTTTTATGTACCACTCCTCTACCAACAGATGCATTTTCAGGATCAATCCGGACAAGGGCTCAAAAGTACAGAAACAAGGCAATAAGAAGCGTCTCGCAGTCAATCCCAAGGTTCTGTCACGCTTATCGAAGATATCGGAGCACGGGATCACAGATGTCTAACACAGATGTCTTTAATGTTGTATAAATTCATACTTCATAATTTAAAAAAAGTTTTGAAAGAAACGCACATCCCAAAAGTGTTCAACTCTAGGTGCAGGACAGAGGAAAACATTTTATTTATTTTTCAGATTTAATAATGTATCCAATTCCCTCTCAGGTTGACCACTTGACATGTGAGAGCTTGAGGAGTTGTTCCCCCTCCGTCCATTTTCAAGGATTTGCTCCCTTACTGCCTCCATTTCACCACTTTTTGGCTACTGAGAAGTCTATGATTTGTTGAGTATGTCAGGTGTTTTATATGAATTCATACTTAATTTGTGATGATGAGAGACTTAATAATGTTTCCATGTCTCTTTTAGGTTGACCACCTGAATATGAGAGCCTAAGGAGTTGTTTTCCCTCTGTCCCCTTTTGAGGACCTGCTTTGTCTCCTCCATCATTCACTGGGCCACTTTTGGGTTCCTGGGCTTATTTCATGTGGTGAGAGGAATGCAATATGTGTATGTTTAAAGGTTTATGTGAAGAAACATACTATATGTGTGATAAAATGACAATTGGTAATTCATAAATGTCTCTTTATATTCTCTGCTACCATTATCTCCTGTCAAACAGGTTTTCCTGACCTGCTAGAAGTTATTCTATGATGCTTGAGGCATCCATCATATCTGAGAGCTTCGTCTTGACTTTGTGAGTTTATTATGCAACTTGTTTAGTCTCAGATTGAAACAAAAGGTTTGATTAGGATTATTTCCTGGCTGAAGATTTTCATATTGATGGTTTTAATTTCAAACATCTGCATATCTTTTAAGTTCAATTAACAGTTATGCAGGTAGGCCTTAGGGCTCTTTTGAGACTTAAGTCATCCTTCATGACAGATACATTTGTTCCCTAAGTGTCACTACGTCACAAAAAGGCTACATGGCTACATATACTTGTCAGTACACAGATACCGAGTACAAGTTCTGTTTGCTGTTTCTTGCAGGTCACGAATTTGGTGAGGAGTGGAGCTGGCTGGCTGCGGACGAGGAAGTAGAGCAATACATACTTGTGCACATACACGTATATGAGTATGCATATCTATTCAGACCTGTAACCCTACCTGTACACAGCTATATATATTTTTTTTTTTCTCCAATTCTCTATTTATGGTTTCATAATGACTGAGTCACCGTTGAGTGAGTGAGTTTCAGCTCTAATGCTGCTACTGTCTGTAATATGTTTCTATTTAGATTATTTGTCAGGATATTTTTTTGTTATTATTATCCGAGTCTGGTTTTAACTACTGTAATACTGGGCTTACACCAAAAGATTTTCACAGTCACAGACTAAAAACTGAAAGGGTAGCATAAGGGTTCTTCCCGTTAGTCTCGTCCCACCCCTAGTCATGACATAACTTCTGTTGTGATTTGACACTATAATGAATAAAGATTGATTGATTGATTGCTATAGCTGTCAATTTTAGTCCTTGAGTTCATAGTTAAGTGCTTTATTTGTTAACTGCTATCAAGGAATATGACTCTCCTTTGTAGTATGCATGAGAGAAGATGCCGCGAGATTCGTTGACTTTTATGTAGTGTCCGCTGATAATGTAGTGGGCTGGTCTGGACAGAAAATGCCAGGGCTGAATTGTTGTCCCAGTCCACCCCTGGCTCCAGGTCGCCCTTTTTATTTACTACAAGACAAATGTGCCTTTTTGTTTCATACAGTTCAATTTGGATTGAGACAGGGAAATAATCTAAACCTCACGTGTGGCGTTTCACTGTCAAGGGGGCGATATAGCGTGTATGTAATTACATTGCAAATACTGACTTGAGCCCCACCACTGTATGGGTTAGCCCTACCATAGATTACCCAACAAAAATACTCCGGAGCCGATAAGTCAATGAATTGCTTATCGCGACAGGCACACAATAAAACAGTGGAAACAAACATGTGTTTGACTTTCATTAGTGAAGGAAACTGTGTCCAATATTGTGTATTTGTATATTGTATATCCAGTACTCAAGTTGTAAAAAAAAATCAGGGGGGATGGTGGATTTTATGGGGACATAATTTGTGCTGATAACCCGCCGAGGGTGGGAGACCAACAGCATAAAGATAATTATTATACTCTTAAAACAACATGCATGTTATGGATGTTCAGATACTCCTTTCATTGCTCTTGACCAAGGCACCTCAGAATTAGAGTCGGTCCCCGGGCTGCCATGGCACCACTAACATTTAGGGTCAAATGCAGAGGACAATTAGTGCAAAATCTTTTTTTCACTTTAATTGAAAGGGGGGGAGGAGATACACAAATGTGGTTATAATGGAAGTCTATGGTACAAATCTTGTAGGTTAATAGTCCCTCATTTATTATTCAGATGGATCAACTGATGATACTAATAATAAAGTCAAAATAGTTTGTAGAATATTGAATTATAGTGTATTTTTTCAAAAAAGCAGTTACTGGTATACGATCAAAACTGGTATCTAAAGGGTTACATTTTTATCGTAATTAATTAAATCATGTAAATTAAACACTTAATCCGTCATCATTTTATTGCAGTTCAAATACAAATATGTTATGTTAACATTCCCAATGTTACTTTTTTTAACAGGGCATTAAGTGCAAATTGAAATGGTTTACAAAATATGAAAATATATTAAAGGATTATACAGATAATACAAAATAGGACCAATGTTGTCAATGGCTGCCTACTCCACTCTCCCCCATCTCATAGAAGTTTCATAAAAATCTTTGTGCTGCATTCTCCTCTGAGTGGTCCTGAGGTCATGGCTTGGAAGGTTTTATATCCTGTAGTGCCACAACAGAACCTAATATGAATTGCTTTTTTCAGTTTCTCTTCTTTCTTTTTTTTGTCTCGTCGCTGGATCACCTCCCCCTGGCAAAGTGGCCTCGTCATTTTAATTGTTATTGTTGACAAACCTGTTTTTGTTGCTCTGTTCAACAGGAGCTTCTGTAAATAGTTTTGTAAATAGTTTGAATATGTATCATAGTAATCATTTGCAGTCTCCCACTCTGTCTCAATTTAATGTATCGTTTCTTTGCCCCACCATATGTTTTGTTGTCCAAGGGCACTAATTTGGTCTGTGTTGAAGATTGTTTTACACTTTAGATTAATCAAAATTGTGTTTTTTGGCTGAATTAATATTTTTCTGTTGAACCCTAACCCTCTTTGTTCTCCTTCTCATTCATTTTACTTTGTTTTTTCACTTTTTCCATACACTGTTCTTAATCCTTGTTCACACATTTGTTCGTCCCTTTTACTTTGTTCTTCCTATTGTTCTTGTTCAAACACATATATCAATTGTTCATCCACTGTTGTGGTAAAATGATATTCATAGTCTTAACATGATCATGCTACTCATGCTAACATGAATACAAGCGTTTCCCTCCAAAAATGTAAAACGTATCTAAGTAATAGGCTACCAAGCTTTCCGTTGTCACCCTGCCTCTCCAAATGCAAAACTGTCAATAAAAAGTATGCAATAATGCAATTACAGCTGAAAAAGTACTTGGGTGTGTTTTTTTTTTTTTAATATATATATATATTTACCATTCAATAACGCAATCGCTGCTGTCTGTCTGTCCCATAGAAGAACATGACAGCGCAGCGCAACTATACTACAGACGTGACTGCCCTGGCAGTGACAGCAACATAGCCTGCTTGTGCTACCACACTTTCCCCTCAAAAAATATCGTTAAATAACGAAACTTGTAAATAGTGCCAATCCATACAAAGTGTAACCACATCATGTAAATATGAAAGCAATCTTTAAAAAATAACAGCGTTGGTTTAATCTATGACTATTTTGACCATGTTTGTGCTGTTTTTGCCATAAAGAAGCATTGCCACGGAAGTGCGTTTGGAACTATCCCGGCATACATAAACCACGTGACCAGCTGGCGGCGACATCAAAGAGTGTCGTAAGTCTTATCTCTCTATGGCTCTGGTCCAAACGTAACGGCTCCGCGGACGTAACGTAACGGCTCTGCGGATTGGTCCATTTGGACCAATCTGCGGAGCCGTTAGGTTAGGTTACGTCACTATAGTATACCCGAAATACGTCACTATACCCAAGAAGTAAACAATGGAAAAAGAGAAATCTCCAAAGAGGCGTTCTGGGGCAGCATAGACAGGTATTTTCTGTGTTAACGGTGTGTCCACACAGCAGCTTTGACCAAATCTTGAAAATCCTGGAGCTGGGCGTGTCTGACAGCTTGGGGATTTCGCGACCAACAACCAATCACATGAATATCACATGAATATCCCGCCCCCGACATACAAAGCCAAAAAAAACGGTTCTTCTACACTATTGTCAAATAGGAAGGGCTATGATGAACATTTATTTTTTTAACATTTTGAACATTTATGAGATTAATGTTTATGGTGCTATTTTATGCTACATTCCATGCTGGCTAATGATACTGTCTATGCTTGCTAGCAACGAAGTAAACTAGCAACGAAGTAAACTGGATATAAAATCCCCAAACAAGCGAAAACCTACCAGTTTCACCCACTGTCTCTGCCACTGAACTCATGCCTGGTTCCTCCGGTTTGTATCCCGGTAAGTAAATAGGGACTGGTTATAAAGAACCGGGTGATTTGCTACCGCAATAACTAACTTCTCCTCCATTTTTGTGGAATATAGAAATGAACTGCGGGTCTGGTTCTCCCAGCTTGCACGCGGTTTGATTGGCTAGCGCTTGAACTGTCAGATTTGCATAAACGGATCTGATTGGCTGTCGCTTCCAGCTCAGCCTCAAAAGTTGAACATTGTTCAACTTTGGAATCCTGAACATCCTGAAAATCCTGGAAATCTTCGCCTCGCCCCCCCACAATGCAGTTCGGCGACAAGCGAGGGAAAGTGACGTCATCCCCATTCAAAGTCAATGGGCGGAGACGCGCTGGAAGCGGTGGACAAATCGCCAAAAGCTGCTGTGTGTACGGGCCGTGAGATAAAGACAGGAAATGAAATAAATCGCAATTGTCATAATTAATGCAAATTACTTCAATATTATTGAGTAGATATTTGCTTTGATCAAATTACTTTTTTCTATGTTTGCCAACTAGTGGATTATTAAAGATTTCTCATGAATAATGTTAATACAGTCCGGATATTCTATCATATAGTGTGTGAGATGTAACAAGATTATAAAAAACACTGTTCCTTTCCCAAGGCTGAAACACCTCTGGGCTTCAACTGAAAAAGCCATGAAGAACAAGATATCTGTGCCATTGTTTCGCTGTGTCTTGAATCTGGGTGTGTATAAAGTAACGCATGCACCAAGTCATGAAGAGTTCCTTATCCTGAAGCGGCCACCTAGTGAGTCACCTTTCGTGACACCCGATTCCTGCTCCAATGACCTTTCCTTCAGGCGGTTCCTCGCTCCTGCTGACAAGTCTGAGCAAGTTGTGTGCTGTTCAGATGTCGTAAAGCACTTAAGCAGGACTGACATTATGACAAACATCAACTGCTTGAACACAATATACTAAGGAGATGGATCAGTGTCAAAGGCATTCCTGTTAAGCCCTGAGCCTGTTTTTCAGGTTTCAGGCTCGAAAATGACATTCCCAGAACAAATGACTATTATATCTTCACTTTTAAAAGGGGTCAATTAATAATCTTTTTTCTCAAAGCAATGATACACCTGTGAATTGGATGTAGAAAAGTCAGAATCAATATAGACGTTTTTATTTTAAAGTAAATTCAGATTGAACATAGTACAATGATGGGATAGTAGATAAAAAGCTTTAGGAATCCAAACTATAACATATAATAAGTACCCTGCCTCAAGATTGATGCAAAACAAGGGAAATTTGACCTTTTTAGAGAGGTTTAGAACACCTCTGGGGTCCTTTGGGTGTATTTGCCATATATCTCTGGAACCCATTAGTCGATTTTTGAACCGTTAGAGCCAATAGAATCGAGGGGAGGTTCCTCAATCCATCTAAACATTTCCATTGAGGAGTTAGAATGATGCGCAAGCAGTTTGCCCAAAACCGGAAGCTGCGTTACACTCTATATAAAAATACATTTATTGCCATAAATATGATGATGGATTATCAACAATCATTTCAAAATGACACAGAGACCGCAACGTCCCGCCGACCAATCATTTTAGCCGACCCGGCTAAAATAACTGGATGGCCTACCTGCTTGTCAGCCTTCCATCTGTGCACAAACTTATCTCGTGCCCTCATTGGTCATGTGCTCGTTCGTGTGTGTTGGAGGAGGGACTCTGTAAGGAAGTGGCAGATTTTATTCGGCTGGGTAGTTTCAAACAGTGGTGTAGTGGTGGTCTAATGGATAGTGAGGTTGGCTGAAGATCGTAAGATTGTGATTTCAAATCCCGCCAGGAACACCAGTGTGGCCTTGAGTAAGGCACTTAGCCCAGTTACTCCAGGGAGAATGTCCCTGTAATCGGTAATTGTAAG